GATGTCAATTCTAACTCATAGGCAACCTGTCCAATTTGTCGAAGAATCTTGTACTGCACGATATACCGCGGACTCAGCTTACCCTTCTTCCCAGAACGCATAACACCCTTCATCAGTGAGATCCTTAGGAAAACCCAATCACAAACCTCAAACTCCAGATCACGACGTCGGACATCAGAGAAAGACTTTTGCCTGCTTTGCGCTGTTCTCAGTCTATTTTGTATCACTTTCACCTTCTCAATGGCTTAGTTAATCAAATTTGGCCCATATAATTCTGTTTCATCGACTTCGAACCATCCAACCGGTGATCTACATCTCCTCCCGTACAGTGCCTCGTATGAGGCCATTTTAATACTGGAATGGTAGCTCTTATTGTTGGCAAATTCTATCAGTGGCAGATGGTCACCCCAATTCCCCTTGAAATCTAGAGCACATGCTCGTAGCATATCTTCAAGTGTCTAAATGGTACGTTCAGCCTGTCCGCCAGTCTGCAGATGGAAGGCAGTGCTGAGATTCACTTGTGTGCCTAAACCTTTCTGAAAAGACCTCCAAAAGTTAGCTGTAAATTGAGCTACTCAGTCTGATATAATAGATACCGGCACACCATGAAGCCTAACAATCTCCTTGATATACAACTTCGCATAACCTTCAGCCATGTAAGTTGTCTTAACTGGCAGAAAATGGGCAGATTTTGTAAGTCGATCAACTATCAACCAGATGGAGTCAAACTTATGATAAGAGCGAGGTAATCCAATAATGAAGTCCATATTGATCACCTCCCATTTCTAGGTCGGAATCTTTATATTCTGAGTTAATCTACCGGGTTTCTGATGCTCGATCTTTACTTCTCGACAATTAGGACACTAGGCTACAAATTTTACAATAGACTTCTTCATTTTATCCCACCAATACTGCTCCTTAATGTCATGATACATATTTATCGAGCCGGTATGGATGGAATATCGGGACTGAACCCTTCCACATTAGGCGCGCATAATCGGCCCTCGTATCTCAGTGACCCATCTCCTCCGATCTCGAAAGCCATAATCTTACGATACTGAATGCCCTCTCTTAATCGTACTACGGTAGGATCTTTATATTGTCGTGGTTTTACCTCGGCTACCAAAGATGATTCTGATGTATTCTGTACAGTAACACCTCCGTCATCAGAGTCTAATAATATGATTCTTATATTGGCCAGCTGATGAAGCTCTTTAGTCAACCTTTATCTACCTGCCTCAATGAGTACTAAGCTTCCCATTGACTTACGGCTGAGAGCGTCTGCCACAATGTTGGCTATACCGGGATGGTACAATATCTCGACATCATAGTCTTTCAATAATTCAAGGCACTTACGCTGCCTCAAATTCAAATCCTTCTGCTTGAAGGTGTATTGTAAACTCTTGTGATCTGTATAGATGTCAACATGGACGCCATATAAGTAGTGCCTCCATATCTTCAAAGCATATATTACTGCATCCAATTATAAATCATGAGTCGGGTAATTCTTTTCATGTTTTTTCAATTGTCTCGATGCATAAGCAATAACCTTCCCACGTTGCATCAATACGCACCCCAAATCTATACCTGAGGCATCACAATATACCACATAACCTTTTGTTCCTTCTAGGAGAGTGAGCACTGGCGCGGATGTCAATCGATTCTTTAGCTCCTAAAAACTACATTCACAAGCGTCGACTACCTTACGTCGTGAACTAACGTACGCGAATATGAGTTGTAACAGATATTGAGCTCAGTCCAATATGTGAGGTTCCTGATGCACTCCTTTGACTTTCATCTTCAACAATTAAGGCATAAGGTTGATTCAAGGTAGGCTCAACTGACTTCATTAGGATCTGTCTTCTAGCTTGAGCATACGAATCATTCAATCCACTTAAAAATTGTAGCAACCTCTATCGCTGAAGATGATCTGTGTACTGTTTCGAATTTGTTGAAGGTACCATCGCATCATACTCAGTCCAGAGTTCCTTCAATTTCGTAAAATACATGGATACTGAATATGTTCCTTGAGAAATCGTATCAATTTCTTGATGTAACTGAAAAATCCTCATCCTATTCACCTTATCAAACCTCTCTTTTAGATCTTACCAGACTAAGTGAGCATTAGAAGCATACACAACTCCACTAAGCAAATCTGGAGACACTGTGTTCATGATCCACGAGAGCACAATCGTATTACATATTTCCCCATCTTCATGTAACTCTAGCCTAAACTGATCCTTGTTGCAGGTGCCAGTGACGAGCCCTAGCTTCCTTTTGGCTTAAAGTGCAATTTTCATCGACCCCTGCCATATCCAGTAGTTCTCAGAACCTGTGAGCTGGACTGGAACTAACATGGAGCTTAGAGTATCAGAAGGATGCGCAATCAAAGGATGAGTGTGGTCAATTTTCTCCGTCTCCATTGTTGATTCGATATTTCCAAGGGAAGGAGACAAAGAAGGAGAAGCTTTGTTCATATGAAAGCAAAAGGAAAAACAGACGAGAGTGACTATCGTGTTAAGCTCTGATACTATGTTGAGCGTCTGCCATGGATGCTTCTGAGAAAAGCTCTGCACAACCGAGAGGAACATAGAGTAGAAGAGAGGAAATAAATTTTCACTGTTGTATTGAACAATGCACTGTACACATACTTATACAGAGTATTACCAATCTAAAATACCTTTCTAATTACGTAATTAATAATTACTCTAACTAGCTTATCTCCAGCTAGGAACCAGCTATCATTCCACTCACGTGACACCTTCAACACAAACATTAGAATAAAACACAAAATCCAAGAAATATCACTTATTTTGATAATGGTCTCAAAATCAATCTCATGGAATTTCTCCAGATTTTTCTTCCCCGAGCATTGTTGTACAAATAATTTTGATTCTCTACTCTAGGCCTAGATTCGCATTACGGGCCTTCTTACTTCTGTTCTGAATTCGGCAATTAATGCGATTAATCGTATATTTCTTGGGCTTAACTTTTTTCTTTATGCTAAAATTAGATTATTAGAAGTCAATTACATTTATCGTTTATAGTACTTGGAGTTAGGGGCGGATCTATGTAGAGGGAAGGGGGTGGTACTTCACCGGGTCGCTCCGGTAGAATTTCATATTAGTATTGGTATTCCACTAATATTTCATGTACAAAATGTATAAAAATAAAAGTGTGGCACCTAGAGTAACAAAGTTTTGGTAGGTGCCACGGTCCAAGTGCTTCCTGCCAGGCCCGAGACCCCAGGTTGAATCTGTATCACTCATTCTTTAAAAAAGCCTATTTTGCTTTTCCTTGTTCCCTCTTTTTCCAGATTTTTTCTTCTCTTTCTCTTAGTTGTTCCATTTTTATTAGTTATTTAAATTATAAAAGTATATTTATTTCTATTTTTTTGGGCTTAAGCAAATTGATATCTGCTTGTACATTTGAATTGAGCAAAAGTGCAAAGTTACATTAGCTTTAAATATGCTCAAAATGAGTAAAACGATCTTTCCAAAATCCAAAACAAAAGAACGGATTTAATTCAGCCATATTCTTATTTCTTATTCAGCATTATTAATTGTTTGATCACAAAGTGTTAAACTCTTTGTTAAACTAATTAATGATGAGATAGAGGATGAATCCTAGTTAAATATAATCAGATCTAGATAAAAAACTTGGACAGATCCGTAGACTCAGACCACGTTTAAGAGTAACAAGATTAGGCACGTGTTCAACGTTTATCAATGAATATTGTAATAAGATCATGCAATAAATATTGACAATGGCAATAAACGTAATGAAGAGGAATTTATCACCCAAATGTTAGACGGTTTGGGTGACTCTCCTTCCTGACAGCAACGTGGAACTAAGGTAAATGTAGATGAATAAGGAATCTCAGGATCTTTTGAACAAGGAATGCATAACGTGAGTAAAGATATAGTATCAGTGAACAAGACAATATTTGTATATTCTTTTAAGTCAACTCTTTACAAAGTGCTCTTATCCAGAAGTGAAGGTCCCCTTTTTGTTCTCTATCTCTTCCTATTTATAAGGGATATCCCCAAGAAACCCTAAAAAGTACAACATAAGGAATATCCAAAGGAATATATAGCTATTTCTAAATCTATTCTACCGTTACTTCTTTACTCCATTTGCTCATCCTTAGCAATAATCCTTCTGAAGACGACTTCTCGTTGTTATGCCGTAGTCAGCCTCGTCCTCGACCCTATTTATCTGCGGTTATCAAGCCGTCCAAATTTAGACCAATACACTAATTACTAGCATTACTCATTACGACTTTTAATCTCACTCATTTTTTAACAAAGCCTATTTTGCTTTTTCTTGTTCCCTCTTTTTCCAGATTTTTCTCCTCTTTATCTTAGTTTCTCAATTTCTTATTTTCATCTTTGTATTCTCCCTTTTTACAGTTCCATTTTTATTAGTTATTTAAATTATAAAAATATATTTATTTCTATTTTTCTTTTCTAAATCTCTAATTTTGAAATTTCAATATGTTTTATTCATTTTTTTTATCTGTTATCACGTGTGTATTTATGCACCAAAAATCTTATGAAGTGAACCGAATTAATTGAAAAATGGACCGAACCGAACCGAGCCGAGTTAATTCAAAACCGAGCGAAGTAGCCAAATGTACACCCTAATTCGACCTCCTTGACTAGAGGTAAGTTTACATTAAAGAAACTGGCACCCGTAACCATCAAATCCTGGATCCGCCTCTGCTTGGAGTGTAACTTAATCCATTTTTTTTGAAATTTAAACTAAATGTACTAAATTGGTCAGAATTTGTCATTTGTAAAGTGAAACGAACATGTAGATTCTTAACGGGGAAAAACAAAAAGAACATGTAGATTCTTAACGGGGAAAAACAAAAAGAACATGTAGATTCTTAGGATAATAGTCCAGCCTATGACTTGAAAGATCATGTTATCAAAATAATGAGCAATCATAAAATAAAGCAATCTTTTACAATAGCATAAGAGATTAGTACGCAGGTACTTAACTACAAACAGCAAAAGGAAATGTAACAATAACGATAAACCATGCAGCTTCAATATAACTATGGACCAGCATTTATCACCTTTAAAATTTAGTTCGTAATTAGATACATTAAGTATTACTATCAGGTGGATGGTGGCGAGTCCGACTGAGGCGGAAGCTCAAATGGCGGAATAACCGCAACTGGCGGCGCTTCGGCCGGTTGGACTGGCGGTGCTGATATGAAGGGTTGTGGTAACATTGAACTTTCTGGTACGTCAGGAACTAATGGTGGTGCCATGAAAATAGCCGGCGGTTGATCCGGAACCACAGGTGACGGCAGAAAAGTTTCTGGTGGTTGATCAGGTATTACCGGTGTTGGAAGAAAACTGTTTGGTGGTTGATCAGGAATCACTGGTGATGGCAGAAAATTGTTTGGTGGTTGATCAGGAATCACTGGTGAAGTCAGAAAATTGTCTGGTGGTTGATCAGGAATCAACGGTGAAGGCAGAAAATTGTCTGGTGGTTGATCAGGTATCACTGGTGATGGCAGAAAATTGTTTGGTGGTTGATCAGGAATCACTGGTGATGGCAGAAAATTGTTTGGTGGTTGATCAGGAATCAACGGCGAAGGCAGAAAATTGTCTGGTGGTTGATCAGGTATCACTGGTGGCGGAAAAAAACTGTTTGGTGGTTGATCAGGAATTACTGGCGGCTCGTCTGATGGTGGAAAAATGGGGACAAGTGGTGTAGCTGGAGGCAAGTTTTGTTCCGGCGGCGGAAGAGTAAAGAATGGAGGTGGTGAAAATATTGGGACAAGTGGTGTAGCTGGGGGAAAGTCTTGTTCTGGTGGAGAAAATATGGGGACAAGTGGAGTTTGCGGTGGAAAGTCTGGTTGTTGAGGTGATGGGAGGGGAAAATCGGGTACTAAAGGTGGAGGAGAAAATAGCGGAAAAGTTGGTGTGTCTGCGTTAGGAGGGGATAACCAAGGGAAGACAGGTTCCTCCGGTGGAGGTGGTGAAGCAACTAGTGGTGGAGGAAATATTATGAAGGGAGGAGATTCCGGAGGAGGTGGAGATGGAACTAAAGGTGGTGGTGGAATTGGCGGAGGAGAAGAAGGTGGTGGTGGAGATGGAACTAATGGAGGAGGTGGGGAAACTGGAGGGGAGGCTGGTGGTGGTGATGGCGGAGGAGATGCGACTACTGGTGGCGGTGATGGTGTTACCGCCGGTGGAGGAGAGGAGACAACTGGCGGAGGCGATGGTGTAACCAGTGGCGGAGGTGATGGTGTTACTATTGGAGGTGAAGGTGTTACAAGAGGCGGAGGTGATGGTGTTACTACAAGAGGCGGAGGTGATGGTGTTACTATTGGAGGTGAAGGTGTTACAAGAGGCGGAGGTGATGGTGTAATTACTATTGGAGGTGAAGGGACGAGTGGAGGTGGAGACGGGATAAGTGGCGGCGGTAGAACTTGTGGTGGAGGAGAGGGTATAAGCGGAGGACGGAGGGGCGGAGTACGGCGGCGAGGTGAGGGAGAAGGCCGGGTGGGTTGCTGAAAAAATGGGTTGTTTGGAGAATTACGAGGGAAAGGCCATTGACCACAATTACCAAAGAGGTATGAATATAAAGGATCGCAACCCGGTGAAGATGAAGACCCTGATCTTCTTCCGCCACTGCTTCTTCTTCTACGGCTTCCTACAGTTCTACTTCTCCTTTGGCTTCTTCTCTTCTCTTCATCATTCCTACTTCTTGCTTCCACTAATAGAGTTGAAGTGATCAAGAGCAGGGCTAACAAAATTAGAGTAACAATGTTTATTTTCATCTGGATGTGTTCTTTATGTTCTTGGAATAGTTTAATACGTGTCCTTCTTCTCTGTACAAAGTACTCAATATCATACAGGTTTATATATATACAGGTTTGTAGACCTTATTCAGGAAATGGAATATATATATAATTAGTGGCACATAGACTGATCAGACTGCTTAAATGCGGCCCATGCAACAACTGAGTAATAGTGAGTTAATGCATGCAACCATGTCACAAATATCGATAAAATGTGGATTTCTATCCACTGAGGTAAATTGGCTTATTAAGGTTAAGTCGTGATTCTAATTAAAGCTTGTGTTACAATTTAGTATCAGTTCGTTGTTTAACGTACTGCAAATTGAGATTTGAAGGGAGGAATATAAACATGCAGGCTGTAAAAGAGTTGACAGAAAAGGCGGCACAATTGAATGTTAGAATTGTCTTGTTTTATGTGCCACCTTTCAGCAAAGAGCTGACCGGGACCAGATTGAATGTAAAACAGATAGAAACGTTCTGTAATTACTTTTGGATGCCAATCTCAACCTTCCCGCGTCACATTTACTTATCATGCAGGCCATGGCAGAGTAGAAGCATAAAGCATACCTTACTAATCCCTTTGGTCCATATTAATTATCGTGGTTACTAAATATATTTGATCCTCTTATAAATAGTATTTTATTTATGGTGAATGTCTATACTTTAGAAGGATTTTAGGGTTTGTTACCTGGTGGCTAAGACACTTTTTTCCTATAAATAGAGGGGTTCTATTCCATTGTAATTGACTCCAAATCAATAAGAATTCTCTCTCCCTACTTTTCTCTGCAATACTCTTATTCTTTTATTATTTCATAACACGTTATCAGCACGAGACTCTAATCAATTGAGTAGAAGCTTTGGGATTAAGCATAATGATTGTCAATTGTTCTATGAACTTCCTTCATGATTAAATCTGGATTTAAGGCAAGTATTTTATCTTATTTTTCTCTTTTAAATTCTTGAAATTCTATAATTTGATTTTAAATACAAGCAAAGACAATAAATTTTGATTATAACTCTAATAGAGTTTGTAAGAAATTAATTATAACCACCAAAGTGGTAAAATTTCTCTGTCTTGTCATGATCAAATTCATGCATGAATATGAGCACAAGACGTGGAAACTCATCCCATTGAATTTGCTTCATTCTCATTCCCTTAAGAGAATGCGATAGCAATATGTAATAAGTCTGAAAGAAGATAAAATTATTACCATGAATGTATCAATGGATGTTGACGAGGCAATAGACGAAATTATAATCGTCATCATTGTGGTAATGAGAATAATATGGATTCTCAAAATAATCCTTCACTCTTTGAAAGTAATGTTTGTCATCGATTTGACAGGAGATTTTGTAAAGCACATATAAATGATTATGGTCCATTCATGATGTGAATGTGATAACATATGGGTTATGAATACATATTCATTTTTGGAAGAACATGAGTGTGCTAGTGGTATATACCACACGTTTGAGAGAAAATAAGAAAATAATATCATTATTATGGCATGAATGGTCGTTGGTCACATACCTACTGTATGCCAAAATATTTTGGCGATGTGATTATTAAAAGACAACGGTAATGCAAGAAACAGATCTTGCATATAATTTTGACCATAGCCATAATGGTATAACTTTCTCTTTAAAAGAGATATTCACCATATGGATGTTGATTAATATGTGGTACTAGAAAATTAATTGAGAACTCTACAAGAGCCAATTATACTATTTTGGAGAAACACAATTGATTACCAATAAGGTATTGTGTTGTAGTAAGTCTCAAAGAAACTTATTCAGTTTCCAAAGTATACGCGAAAGGGTTGATTATATTGAGACTATAAATAAAGGAAATATTTAATATCTTCTATTTCTACAACTTGTAGTGGGGCAATATGTATGTGAAAAGCTACCCGCTTTATCCTCCAGTTTGTACTACACAAATATAAAGATGCCACAATAAAGTAAAAGTTTATTGATATAAAAACCCATATCATAATAAACTTGGAGTTTATTGATAATTGCACACGTCATGGAGTAAGTCTGAATTTTATAAATATTGACATTTTAAAAAATTATAGGTAAAATATGGCTCTTCCAATGCCCACAGAGGCAAAGCAATTAACAAGCACTAATATATCCGGTTGACATAATTGGTTTAGCCATGTTAATTTAAGTATGATGTGCAAAAATAAAAGGGAATTCACATAGGTAAATATTAAAGAACTAGAAAGTTCTATACGAATTCTCTTATGTTGCTAGTTCTCATTAATTAATATACCAACTAAAATTGGGATTGAATTCCATGAATGCTGGAAATATCAAAGGTGAATATGGGCTCATTCACCTGCCATGTATACCACATACGATGTTTCTATGAGATAGTTACATGCGCGATTATTGTTAACCCGCAACCTGATGTTTGCGAGGTAAATTGCTCGACAATTAATTTAGAGTATATTTTTCAAATTTTTTATTCAATATAGTTCGTCTTGATTAGTTGGTTTACATCGCAGTTGGTTTAGCAAAATAATTTATTGAGTGCATCCACTTAATAGCTAAACTATTGCTTATGAGAACAAAGTTATCTATATCAATTTCATATACGTTATATACTAAAGTATATTACATTCTCCCATCACAAGTGGTTCAGGGTCAGGAACCAAATAATTTCATCTTATTATTATTAATGTGTGGTGTATATTTTGATTAACACCATAACGCACAAAGATGGGCTTCCAAAGTTGAGGAAGCAAGTTAGTTTTTGTAACATGAGGGGGAGACATGATAAAAGTTGAGAAAAGTTACGTGGAATGAATTATCAAGTCTACATCTAGATCCTCGAATAAGATAATATGAACCTGAAGTTCATAAAATGATAATTCATCTGCAATATATTGCAGAGTATGCGAGCTGCATTTGCTGACCCATAGAAAGTAACTATATTCTCACTACAAATGCTCATATTAGAATAAGTCTATGGTACACTTAAAGCGTATAGACAAATCAGTTTTAAATAAACTTCTTGATACAGAAGATGAGAAAATGATCAAAATGATCATAATAAGGAGGCAAGTGATCTAGAAGATCACATGACTACACTTCATAAAATATCAGGAGAGGTTCGGGTACTTGAAATGAATGAAGTGATCTCTATGTTATGTCTTTATGAAAAAAATATTGGAACCAATATAAAATGTTCGTCGACGACATCTATCATAGCGCTAAGTACAGATGAGGATCTTAAGTCTGTCAAATACAGACACAAAAATATTGGCCAAATAGAAGAGACACAATTCAAATAGAATTGGTTTCATATGAAAGACGTGTAGTTTTGGACATGTAGTTCAAACACTTGAAAGTATAAATTCAATGGTGTGTAAAATCACTTTTATCTATCTTATATGTCTAACATGACATGAAAACTTGGTATGCAACTAAAGTCGATTTGTATGGCCTATATGACAATCTCTAAAGAGTTTAAATTGCTTAAAGCATATACAATTATTGGTCATGAAGTACCACATCCTAAGTGCAATTTATGCACATATATATCTTGCTATAACTGTAAGCATGATAATATGATAGCGAGAATCTCTATGGAGATATTGAAAAGGTCATTCCACGGCATTTAATGAAGATATTACATATCTTTCAAGAATGATGATTTCAAGGTACAACATATTCATTCAAGTTAATATGGCTGATTTATTTATCAAATCTCTACCAACGATCTTTTGAGATGATGCACATGATTGGAATGTAAAGGCTTAAGGATGTGAATTGATGCTCTCATCAGGGGGAGTTAATACGCGTTGTACTCTTTTTTTCTTACAAGGTTTTGTCCCAATGGGTTTCCCTTGTAATTTTTTTAACGAGGAAACCAAAAGGCGTATTTTTAAACATGTGTACTCTTTTTCCTTCTCTAGAATTTTTTTCCCACTGGATTTTATTTTAGTCAAGGTTTTAACGAGGCACATTATCTGTTGAATAGACATTCAAGGGAGAGTATTATAAATAGTATGTTATTTATGGTGAATGTCTATACTTTATAGAGATTTTCGTGTTTGTTACTTGGTGGCTAAGTCACTTTTTCGCTATAAATAGAGGGGTTCTATTCCATTGTAATTGACTCCAAATCAATAAAAATTCTCTCTCCCTACTTTTCTGCAGTACTCTTCTTCTTTTATTATTTCATAAAAGAACCAAAATAGTTGCTATTTTAAATTATCAAGGTATACGTTATTATTTTCTTTGTTTTACCCTTTGTATTAATTGTCTTTGAAGTAAAAAAAAAATTGATTAATAGAGAAAACTTTTATTAAAGAGAGATTACTATATAGAATGATTAAAGATATAAATAAGGAATTGTAGTCAAAAGCCCATCTTATTAATTATTTCTAGAGAAATTTTCATAAAGCACCACCTTTTAGTAGTAATTAGCCATCTATAGATACCATTTGCTATATTACGGATTATAGATACCTTTTCTGTGGTTATAAGATGTATTTGATGTATTTAAGCTATTGTATTCATAAATACATTAGCAAAAATAGGCGTGAACCAGGGAAGTCCAGCTAATCAGTTGTTGTATTCGAGTGTATTCGACTGTATTCATGGAGTGAAACGTGGGATTACAATTGGACAGATTATTGTATTCGACTGTATTCGACTGTATTCACGACGTGAAATAGGGGATTACACTGTTTTTAAAATGGAAAGTGAATCAATTAACATAATAGACTCCTAATATAACTCAACAAACTCAATTTTAACACACAAATTTTGTATTTTCAGTTATAAAAAAGATTTTCAGCCGAAAAATACACCAAAAGCGTAGCAATCTTCAGAGAAATTATATAATACATCTGAATACATAAATATTAATTAAAAAAACATATGAATACATTCATGGCATATAGCGAGATAGTGAATACAATGAAATACATAGAATACAACGGGATACATTAAAATACAAAAAGACAGTAAATTCGATGAAATACATGGAATACAACGAAATACATTGAATTACAATGAAAAA